CAGGAAAATGGAAAAACACATTATTACGCACACAGCTCCGTCTTTTCCTCTCTCTTTTCCTCTACTTTTTAAAAATAATATACTGTAATTTTATTTTTTTAAAGATTTTATTTATTTATTCTTTTTAGAGAGACAGGAAGAGAGGGAGGAAGAGAGGGAGAGAAACATCAATGTGTGGTTGCCTCTTGCGTGCTCCCTACCGGGGACCTGGCCTGCAATCCAGGCATGTGCCCTGACTGGGAATTGAACCCGCACCCCTTTGGTTCAGAGGAAGCGCTCAATCCACTGAGCCACACCAGGCAGGGCACAGCCTTTGACTGTGGATTGTTTCTCAGCTGTGTTCTGGAGACACAGCTGTGCTTCTGTCACCCTCTCTATGGAGCTGAGGCCCAGATTTACACCTGTAGCTAAGACCCTTTTCTGAGCTCCAGAGTCTATGCCATGTCCTCCCTTGTCCTCGGGATCGCAGCCATTAACCTTCTGTGTAAGGGCCATGCTCCCTCCTGCCATGGGATTGTAGGGCCTCCTGTTCCCCCGCCTGGAAAACTCCTTTCTGTTCTGTGCTACAGCCTGCAATTTTAGCCACACTTCTACTTTTACACAAACTATATTGTATTATACATATTGATCTTCAACTTGCTTATTTTCCACTTAGTGGTTTATCTTTGCTATCACTTTGTAAAGACCAACCTAATTTTTTTTTTAATGGTCACTCAGTATTCTAACAACTTGATTGGTCCCCGAAGGATGCACTCTAGCTCTCCAGTTGTCTCCTCCTCCACATCCTCCCCTTACCCTTTCCCTCTCCCTCTCTTTCTTTTGGATATCACTGTTTTGCACTTTTGTTTGAGGTAAACCTAGGATACATTCTTAGGCATAGAATTTCTGTACCAAAAGACATGTACATTTAAACAAAAATGAATGTAAATATTGACAAGTTGTCATCTAAAATGTATCCACTTGAATCTCATGTTATTTATCCATATTCTCTCTAACACTATAGGTATTATCATATTTTGACATCTTTGCAAACCTGATACATGGAAAAATATAATTTACTTTAAAATTTGTCTTACCTCATAATGACTAAGAATTCATTTTTGTGTTTTGCTTGTACCTATTTAGTTTTGCAATTAAAATATTCTGTCTTGAGGGTAGGGACTCCTTTCTATTCAATAAATATTTACTAAGCAACCATTATGTCTTGTCGATTAGATTGAATTAGATGGAAAACAACAACAGTGTTTGGTACCAGAGAGTGTGACAGAAAATAGAAACGTCAAAAATGTTAACAGTAAAAGATTTTCCCATGGCATAACTAGTTTTAAGTGGCAGTGGCTCCTGATGAATAGGATGAATTAGCTACAAAATGTACCTTCATTTAATTGAATAAATTAAGGTGCTGGCTAGAGTTATTTTTTATTTTGCACTTGAAATTTGGAGATTATCAGCTAAATGTAATTTTGATTTTGGCACAATTAATAATGATCTGTTTTCTCTGGAAGTACCATAATTAGAAATCTGCTCAGTGACTCCTTAATGTCACTACTGGTTTTTGACAGAAAGCCATGACACTTGCATTAAGAATGACAACTTCTCAATTGCTATGACACAAGGAAGCTATGACAGGTGTTTATTCTGGAGTTGAAGAAGAACCTATGATACAGCTCTCTTTTATAATGTAGTTTTTGGTTAAAATCCAGTCTATTTGGAGACAATTTCAACTCTGCCACAGAGCTTTTAAGAATGCAAATTTTATAAAAGCTTTGATAACACTGGATTTATGCTATCCTTTCACATCTTGGTCCATGGATAAGCTGATGACAGATGGTAAAAAAAAAAAAGAAAAAGCTACAAATACTAGCATGTTCCAAAAATGCTTCTCAAGTTGTTTTAGGAGGCAAGCTGAAAAAAAATGTTCCCTATTCAGCCAAATTCTAGGATAGTTGTTTAAGAAAGTGAAAGTCGCTTCTTTACTGCTAGATCCCAGGGTCTTAAATACAACAGTGTGACTGGGAGCCAGTTCTTAGTGTTTCCCCAGTTCCTCTGACCCCAGCACCTAATTGCCTACGGTAAAAGCATGTTGTGTTTCAGCCATCCACTTTTCTTTCTTAAATCTGGAGGGACTCTGATCAGGGGTCCTCCCTACCCCAGCTAAGGGAGTATCTAACAGCAATAGATTGGGGTCCACCCTTCCCAGCATGGGAGACACCCGATCATGACATTTCTGCCTCTACATTACCCTGCTGTCACTGCTGCTATGCGCTCTGGAGTTGCTCTAACTCCTGCCAGCTTCCTAGCCTGGTTATCTAGGTAGGCTGCCCGTCAATTCTCAGAGTTCCTGTTATTCTCCCTTCAAATTCCTGTTTGCTTAAATTGGGTAGAGTTTTCTGTTGTTTTGCAACCAAAGGACCCACACTCTTTCTTCCTTAGCTTATCTGTCAATAACACAACCAAATGTCTATTTGATTTACTGACAACTGAAAGACCCATATCAATGCTACTACCTAACACATTCTAAGAGCTCAGAAAGATTTTTGTTGAAAAAATGACTAGTAGTCCAAAGCAGAGCTTTCAGGAAGCATTATTTTAAGTTATTTCTTTAATAAGGTAAGACCATATATAATGGTACTCAAGAGAGAAATAGTGCCTATAATCTATTCACTCCCCTAGTACCAGAGTATACTAGAAAACACACTTGTGTTGAGTGTTGTTGGCTAGTTAACAAACTATGGAGTCATATAATTTAGAGAAGCAAAGTTTTTTCAATTAAGAAAACTATAAATCAATCTTATGAAGTCACCTAGGAAAAAAAATTGCCCTCTCTGAACTAGACATTTTCCAAGACATCTAACATACACTTTCTTATTTAATCATCAGTGTCTATGTGTCAGTCAGCAATATTTCTTGAATCCCTAATATGTGATAGATATTGTGCCGACACACAGAAGGAAAACAATAATGAACAAACAAACTCAGCTTGAGCAGTAAGAGACCATTCCACAGTTACACAGATGGTGAGTTGGTGGAACTATGATTATTCTTTTGTGCATATACAGTTATATCTTTGTTCTTTCTATTTAACTGTATTTAATAATAAATAGCTTCTATTTATTCTAAATAAATAGATAATCCAATCCAATATAGATGGGTTTCAAATTTTAAGGACAGCCACCTTAGTGACAAATGCTTCATGAATCTTAAAGGAGTGTTTTACTGACAGCAGTCATTGTCAGTATTTTGGGTTCAAACATGCTTTAACATTTGGTCTTCCGGTAAAACATAACGCCCAATGAAAAACATCTAGTTGCTTATTAAAACTTCGAGAGAATGATACTGCACCCAGTGTTTGCAGTCAGTCTTCCTCCTTCTCCTATCCTTGTGTCCAGGACTGCCAGATAAAGTAGGTCCCCATAATCCTCAAGTCCAAATATTAAGACCGTGGGAATGAAGCCCCAGAAGCCAGCCAGACAGGCCCTAATGGGTAAGGGTGGTGTGCAAAGAACCCCCCCAAACCTGTAGGTCTGAAAGTGGAAAAATTGCGGGACTATTGATTTGAAACTAATGAGAATGTTAAATGCATCTCAATATAGATGGTGTTTCTAGCCAAAGTGTGGAAGAATCCCAGCCTCCAAGATGTGGGTCTTAATATATTGTGAAATTTCATCTTTGCAATATTTTAAACCTTGAACTTGTACAAAGTATAGTTTAATTTAGGCTTTCATCTACCTGGTGGCTTAACGCCACATAGGACAAAGGTTTTTAATTCAAAAGGGGAATATGGTATATTTTCACCTATTAAAATGAGTGGGTAAAACAACTACGGGGCATTTACACAATGGAACATTACTTGGACCTAAAAAAGAAAATTTTACCCTTTGCAACAGTATGGATGGACATGGAGAACATTATGCTAAGTGAAATAAGCCAGTCAGAGAAAGACAAATACCATGTGATTTCACTTACATGTGGAATCTAAGGAACAAACTGAACTGACAAGGAAAATGGGGACAGACTCCTAGATGGTGAGCAGGGCGACAGCCGGGGTACGGCACAGGTAGGCACTGGAGGGATTGAGGAAAAAGGAAAAAGGACTCATGGACATGGACAACAGTGTGGTCATTACTGGGGGCGGTGGAAGAGGGCATAAAAGTACTAAATGGTAATGGAAAACAATACAATGAAGATTAAATAAAAAACAAAAAAATAAAATGATCAACTTTGTGTAAGCATGCGTTTCTGAGCTTATTTTACACAGGAATGATAGGAAACACCCACAAATGGCCCAGGAGTGGGCCAGGACCTGGAAGTTGAGGGTGGTGCTCTGGGGTTTTAATGCTGAACAAGCAGGAACCACACATCCCTCCTCATTCCTCAGGTTCAGGGTTTCCATCCATCCCTGCTGATCCCCTACCATTTCTCAAAGTTACCGTGACGCTGTTCTCAACAGTACCGTAAAGTCTACTATCCTAAGGAGGGCCACTATTTAGCTCCTGCAAAGCGGCCACGTAGGAATAGGGGCATTTTGAACTTTACAAGTCAGTTTGGTCAAGGGAGAGGGAAACAAGGCCAGGGATCCCAAGCACATCCAGGTGGGGCCCCGACGTCTGTTCTCGCAGGTTGCTTGCCAGTCCTGGAAAGGGAGTGTGGGTGCAAGCAGGCGGGTTTCCTGGGTCTCGGTCGTCGCCGGAGAGGCCGCAGCTGAGGCTGTGCATGTGGCCCAGAGTCCCCCAGTGCAGGTGCCTGAGAGTGAGAACTAGGGTGCGCGGAGGAAGAAGACTTCCGGGGAGAGCGGGAGCGCGCCCCAGCTCGCCGCCAGCAACAGGGCGGGAGGGGGAGAATGCGCGGCGTGCGCGCCTCCCTGGCGGCAGGGTGGGGGAGGGGAGCGTGCGCGCGGGCTGGCGGGCCCGAGGGCGCGGGGGCGTGCTTGCGTGCTAGCTTGCCCGAGGGGGGAGGGGGCGGAGCCTCTTGGCGGTCTGAGCTTGCCCCGGGGTCCGCCGAGGTGCGTCTCTAAGCTGACGCGGCTGCTGGGGGACAGAGCGAGCAGTACGCACCACCTGCAGAGCTGGCTGCTGCAGTTTCTTTACTAGGAAACACCGTTTGCCCGCGGGAACGTCCGGGAGCGCGCAAGTACGCACGCACACACACACACACACACACACACACACACAAACGCCACCCCCGCGCTAGCGCGGTCCTTCGTAACTGCATCCCCAAACAAGTAGAGCAAAGCCACTGCGGTTTCTTTTAACCTCATCATCGTGGGGCCATTGTGTATCTGGCAAAGCCCGGTATCTGCGTTGCCGCCTCGGGTATACAACCCAGCAGAACGCTCACCCCATCGGGTAAGTCAGTTTCTCTCCTTGTAACCTGTTCAGGGTCGGTGACTGCAGACCGGAGGGAGACGGAGGATGCAGGTGCGCCAGTGGGGTGAGACTAAGTTGATTGAAATTTCAGGGGCATGCAGCCTCTTCCACCTTCTCCTAGCTGGAGCAAGTACTACTCTATATTACTTATTCTACCTAACCTTGAAGTTGCTACCCCCTCTTCTCTTCTTCCTTCAGCCCAAGATATGCTGTGCTTCTTGGTTGCCAAGGAGACTTGCTTAAACATCAGCCTTGGGACATTTATTGAAAGAACTGGTTTCTTCAATGGTGCTGTTATTTTGATTTTTTTAAATAACAAATGTGCACGGAGGACCGTGTAGTAATTGGGCATTCGTTAATATGTATTCAGGTGACGATTTTATTCAACTTCAAGAAAAGCGGTAACTGCACTATATGTTATGCTTTAAAAAAAGATTGGTCAGATGAATTTTTCAAGAAATGTGTCTTGAATTATAAATTACTCCCATTTTGGTTGATCTTATAAAGAGAAAGCGATTCCAATTAAAATCCTTTCTTCTCTATTTCCACATTAATATCTTGTCGTTCATGCAGCGGTGATTATCTTAGCACTGAAAGCAGAAGATGAATTTATGTGGTTCCCACACAAGGGTGATCTTCAGTTGTAAACTGACCAGAATAGGGATACATATGTGACATTCCTAATGAAAGGAGATAGCAGTCATAACCTAACATCTTTGCTCACATTTCTACATCCACTGCATTATTGTAGTGCAGTTTTCTGCACCTCTTCCCATTTCTGAAATGTTCTTCTTTCAAGTCTCTTATTGATTTTTTGATGTGTATCTATATGCAGGTAGATAAAGATATAAAATGTGTGCCATGGCTTAATACTTCAAATTCTAAGTTTTTGTTGCTCATGTTAAAACTTAGAGGGGAAGGATCCACAGAGAAAGCTCTGTAGATCCTGTTGGTTATATTCTGATGGAGTGGGTCCTTTTCTGGAGCACCGCCTGAGGCCTAAGAAGGAGGCCAGTGCTCTAATCTCAGAGGATCGCCTCACCACTGGACTGTCAGTTTTACCTTGAAGCCTCAGGTGCCTAGTGGGCGAACGCTAACACAGCATTTGAAAGGGCCAGCAATCTGGTAATTACACTTTGCACTAATTCTGTACTTTTATCAGAAACAGAAATGACCTAGGAAAGGTCCAGGGGCACTCAACAATTTACCTTGTTTTCCTTTGATATTTGTTCATCTCTTCTACCTTTTACTAAATGAGATTAGGAAATATATAAAATTCTTTATATTTAGACTTTCAACTGTGTCATACAGAGTATAATAATATGAGGATCAAGGAAGCCAGTTACAACTGAGGTAGGGAGAGGAGATTTATGCAACTGAAAGGGGACTGGGAAATGAATGATGGCAAACATTTTACATTACAGTGTCCAGAGTACTTTTTGTTTATTCTCTTTTTGATCCCCATAACAACCTTGTGAGGTCAAGGAATTATGTTTATTTTAAAGCTGCGGGACCTGAAACTTAGAGTTTGCCGGAGGCCACAGAAAGGGGAAGCCCTTTTTAATATCCGGGCTTTTTGCCTTAAAAAATATCCGGTATGTGCATTTCCAGGGTGTGCACAGGTGAGATGAAGAAGTGGAGCGCCCTGGTGGGAGGCCTGTGGGAGAGGGGGCACGTGGATGGCGGCTTCTGGAAAGCGGAAACCCCGATGAAGGGGGCCGCTCCTACCGTTGCTGATTGTTGCCACAAGTCTAAAAATTCTTCCATAAGGAAAATACGAAGTTTCAAGATTTTTTCATGTGACATGCCCTTAGCTTTAAAAACTGTAAGGACCGCATTATAAGTGTACCAGGGCCACATGTGGCCGGCCAGTGTGCAGTCCACGACTACTGAGGTCTCATTCATTTCTAAGCTGTTTTTCTCTAATAAAATGTTGATGTGAACAAATGCATCCATCATTGTAAGAGTGGTTCAGGGTTTTCAGATTTTGATATTAAAATATCTAAAAAAACTAAAACAAAAATGATTCACCTCTTTTCTTCAATAAACAGGTCCACACTTGTTTTTTGAGGGTTCCTAGGTCCTCCAGCTTACACCTCAGAGAAAAATAAAAGAGAATGATGTGTTCCGAAATAGGAATTTTTTAATCTGGTGAAACAGAAGCATTCATAGTTTAAAACTTCTTATGTTTCTGGCTTAATTTTTGTTCTGGGCATAGAACTAAACAGTATAGAAAGAGTCAGTTGAAGGAAGAGGTGGAATAAAAAGTTGATCTGAAAAAAGGAGCATCCTGAACCTTCCAGTGAAAACTTCCTATTAAGGATTTAAGTAGTTAAAAGCCACCACAGAATACTGCAACATTCCAAAGGAACAAAAACATACATGGGAACTCAAAGGGACATTCATTCCAGGACCCTGACAGAGAAAATTCTGTTTACTGCTTATAATCTTGTAAGGAAGCAAATACCTGTTAAGTAGCTGCCACTTCCTCATGTTTCTACTAAGGCTGTAGAGATGTCCGTAGATTTCTCTGAAGCATACCTAGTAGTCAGAAAGGAGTGTTATTTTACGTTGTTTCTTTTGCGGATCCAACGAGGTATTGTTTAAAGAAAAAAAAAAAAAGCCAGGATTTGGACAGGGACTTATAATCTCTTATTTTAAAAGCATCCTGTAAAAGATGCTTTAGTAATAAATAAATGCTTTTCAGTTTTCAAGTTATGAAACTGTGTTGCACCCCTAAGAAAGAGCTATACAGATATTAGTTAATAATAATTTAACAAAGGCCTGGCTGAATCTTCTGGAGGTAACATCTCTGCCCTCGAGGATTCAGACCAAACTCACCTACTGCTCCTGGCAACTTTCACTTTTCCAGCTCCTTCTGCATACAAGATACTTTCCACAGTGTCTTCACAACATCCCTGTAAGTGGGCATCATATTTCCATTTTACAGATGAAGAGCCCAAGACTATGTGAAGTTAAACTGATGATGAAGGAAAACTTTAAACCTAAGCAGGTCCTCTCACTTCAAATTCATCCTTCACTGCTGATTACCTAATGGAGGTTATAGATATGTGTAGAGTTATGATTTCAAGGCAGTTGTGTGCTAAATGATATAATACATATACGATATTCCATAAAACGCAACACAGGAAAACATTTTAAAAAATACTGATTTTGGAGCTCATATAAGTCTTGTGTAGGAGGATCAGTGCTGGACCTGGATGTCTGAGTTTGATGCTAATAAATGATCCTTTTAGCTGTGGAAAGAACTGCCAGATAATCAGTTGGAAACGTCAATTGAGAGGATAATGTATAAGGCATCTGATACTGATGAATTCATCATTGTAGCTGAAGGCATGACCAGACGGGGGGTGGGGGGCAGAAATAGAGTCTCCAAGATGGAGAGCAGCACAAGATGGAACCGAGGATGTGTGGGAGCGGGAAGAAGAGCACCGGTTGGCGAAGGCCGCTAGGAGGGGAGCTGAAGACACAGGAAAATATGGAGAGTATAGTATGGATTCTTCTGAAAGATGGGAAATAAACAGGGGACGAACCTAGCATTATATTCTTTATACATAGTCTGATATAAAATGAAGTCTACCCATGAACTGTTATGGTATGCCTGCATTCTTAACATCCAACATCTGGCATGTAATTTCCTTTTTTTAAATCCTCACCAGAGACTATGTTTGTTGATTTTAGAGAGAGAAGATGGGGGCGGGAAAAGAAACAACCATTGGTTGCCTCCCTTTTATGCCCCGACTGGGGATTGAATGTACAGCCTAGGTATGTGCACTGACTGGGGATTGAACTCGCAGCCTTTTGTTGCACTGGATGATGCTCCAACTAGCTAGGCCACCTGGGCAGGGCTAATTTCCTTTTTTTTTTTTTTTTTTTTTTTTTTTTTTAATAGCACTTCTCTGTAGAAAGGAAGCCTACATAGATATTTTACATGAATTCAGTTGGAATGGACAAATATCTGGATTTTCAAAAATGGGGAAAGAGATTCTTCAAATTAGATGAAAAAGGAAGAATGTATCAATGTAAACATTTTCTTTTGTAGGGCTTTAAGGATAGGGAGGCTCTTACATATAGAGATTTTAATGTTAGATACACTGTTGATGATGTCTCATATCAGTGGGATGGGTGAGGAGAAATATAAGCTATGTGTTAGCTATTTGAAAATCTATATTCAAACCCAGAGGGAAGCCTTTAGTGGCAGATAAACGGACTCTGCACTCGATTCTGATTGAATCAACATTTTTGTTAGCTGAATGGAAATTTGAAAAAATGTGACAAGCAAGTGGAAGTTAGACTTGTAGTCACGTACTAGATCTGCAATGACTGGTTGGGAGAGCTACCTGTTAGAATGCTGGTCACAAGGTAACAGGATGAAATAAAGTAGAAAACATGTCAGAGCTAGCTAGAGTCCAGCACTGAGGACATTTGCTATGACAGGAATTTTCTTTAAAGTCGGAGGGATTTTCATTCCCATCAGGTCCAATACAGTAGTCCCCCATTTTCCATGGTTTCATTTTCCACAGTTTCAGTTACCTGTGGTCAACTACAGTTCAAAAATATTAAATAGAACGTTCCAGAAATAAACATTTCATAAGTTTTATATTATGCGCCCTTCTGAGTAGTGTGATGAAATCTTGTACTTTCCCACTCCGTTCCTCCTGGGACGTGAATCATGCCTTTGTTCAGTGAATCCAGACTGTATATGCTACCTGCCTATCACTCACTTAGTAGCTGTCTCTGCTG